TTTACCCCTATCTTGGCTTCACCCGAGTTGTCAACATTGACAGTTTCTGTTACTCGGCCTCCGTTCCAAATTACATGTATACGACTCACGGTGATATGACTGAAGTATTGTACTCTCACCTCTCACGCTCTTCTCCCCTGTTGCTTCAGGAAACTACTTGGTGTTAGGCAGGGCTGGGACGAGCAAAATAGATGGGACATTTTTTACTGTTTTTTACTGTTCAATCCATGCTAGCCATGCCTGCACATGTATATAATTAATTTCAGCTACTGCATGAAGATTTGCTTTAAGAATACGACAGCCTTTGCTTTGTAAGAAAATTTAAAAAAAAACCTGATATGCAGGGCTCAATCGACACTGGGGAAATGGCAGAAATATTTGGCTTTCCGCCTACGAGTAAAGTCGTTGAATTTAAAGTGAATGATTAGGAATAGTTTCACAGCAACACACGAGGTACATTAAGGTGGAGTTGGCTTCAGACATGTACCCATGATCTGCCCCATAGGGAGTCTGGGTTACAGTTGGTGCCCAGCAACCCATGACATAGGTGCCCAGCAACCCATGTCATAGGTGCCCAGCAACCCATGTCATAGGTGCCCAGCAACCCATGTCATAGTGCCCAGCAACCCATGACATAGGTGCCCAGCAACCCATGTCATAGGTGCCCAGCAACCCATGTCATAGTGCCCATCAACCCATGTCATAGGTGCCCAGCAACCCATGTCATAGGTGACCAAATGGATCCATGGTCAGGCACCGTGACTTGGTTGATGTTGTATCCTACCCTGAAGGGGTATCATTGCTCACACTGTCAATCATTGGATTGTCTGGTGTAGATGCAACTATTGTCAGGCACACAAATGTCTTTGATCTGTGGCATCAAGAGTCAATGCTTTAGCCAACTGGCTGCCCCACCATGCTTAAATGTATGTTGGTTGTTTGCTTTGTTGTTTAACGCCACACTCAGCAATATTCAAGCTATATGACAGCAGTCTGTAAATAATCAAATCTGGACCAGACAATCCAGTGATTGATATCATGAGCATCGATCCATGCATGACATGCATCAACCAAGTCAGCGAGACTGACCACCTGATCCCGTTAGTCGCCTCTTACAACAAGCATAGTTGCCTTTTATGGCAAGCATGGGTTGATGAACACCTGTTCTACCCCGGGTCTTCACAGGTCCTTAGTGTATGTTCATCAACAAGTACCGGTAGGTAGATACAATGACCTGTGCCTAAGTTATTAAGTTTCAACATACTATCTTCCTGTACATATTAAATATCAGTGCTGATTATTTATTGTTTAGATTCTCATTTAAGTATTTTCATGAACACAATGCTGGCAAGGCATGAGCAACATTGAAAGTATAACACTTGACCAATACCTCAATTTGTTTTCTACCATATTCTTTTTATCCATACCTTGTGAATTACTTTTATAATGAGGAAGAGAATTTATGAATGTCAACTTCTTTATCATGAGGAACACAACATTTATGTATTTGCTCCATCAGGTGAAATGAATTCACCTGATGAAGGAGTAAGCAAATACTACGAAACGTTGTGTTCCTCATAATAAAGAGGGGCTGTCGGGTAGCCTAGTGGTTAAAGCGTAAGCTCGTCACGCCGAAGACCCGGGTTCAATTCCCGACATGGGTACAATGTGTGAAGCCCATTTCTGGTGTCCCCTGCCGTGATATTGCTGGAATATTGCTAAAAGCGGCGTAAAACCATACTCACTCACTCACTCATTATAAAGAAGTTGATATTCATATATTCTCTTCCTTATATGTAACACTTCTAAATGCCTTTCCAAGGCTTGAATGACCTCTCCAGATTATCTGCTGTATGACGTCATGCTAGATCCGTTGTGTATGCAGCATACCTCTCTTATGTCACCTGATTGTCTCATCGATTGGTTTGATTGATTCAACTTCACCAAGGGAAAGTAGACTAGGTTTAAGTACACAAGTGATTGGGTTATCCAGTGAATATTCATGTGTATGCTTATATGACCAATGCAACTCTCATTTAGTGCCTTATTTCCCCATCATGATCTACCTACCACATGCCATGTTTGTTTGACTATTGCATTGAATAATTTAAATAAATAGCAGTCTCTTGAGTTGGCATTTTTCTTTGAGAGTTATTATACTCTTGGCTTATATGGACCTCATCCGTGGTCTAGTGGTGGAGCATCTGCCCGGAGAGAGGAAGGCCCCGGGGTACGATCCCTGGCTGCGTCATACTAAAAGATGGTTCTTATTGTTACCCTGTCTGGCGCTCTGCATTTAAAAAAGCACCTGCACACGTATATTAGTGCAATAATCTTGGGTGCATTAAGGGGACAAAAGAAGGACTGTTCAGGTCAGGAGTGTGTACACTGAGTGGGGTATCTCGGTGGCTAGCACTATAAAATAGGCATTAGTCCAGTCCGGACTAACCTACGCAGGCACACAGGCACTAATCTTAAACACAAGCATGCACACACAGAGCTTTGTAAGTGCCATCTTCCCGAGGCAAGAGAGTTTACTGACTTTAAAAGTCCAGTTTCCACCCTTGCCGAACTAGGCTTGATCGTAGCGCCTCCAGTGGCTATTACCAGTTATGTCCCTTCCAAGCCTGCCCTATGGACCAATCAGATTCCACCTCTCATATCACTTGCGTTTGCTTCACACAAATTGGTGGCACCCAGTCAGGACGATCTGCTCGATAATCAAGATCTATATTGTGATAAAACGGGTCTTAAATCGCGAAATGCATCAAATCACGTGAGCACCTTCATTAAAAACATGAAAAGATTTGGAAAATATCGGCTGACGAGTTGGCAGTGCACATACTTTGCAAATCCTGCAATCGACCGAAATCTGCACGACAGTTTACAAACCGGATTTCGATATTTGGGTGCGCGATTTTGATAGGACTATGTAAAGACTTGTTAGTCCAGCCAAAATGTAACTCCATAATACCAGCCTAGTTCGGCAAGGGTGGAAACTGGACTTTTAAAGTCAGTGAACTCTCTTGCCTCGGGAAGATGTGTAAGTGCAATAATCTTAAAACATGGCATTAAACCCTATTTCACCTCACCTCACCTCAGCCCATGAGTGTCATCTTCGTCCCAAATGTTGAGGAATGAGCATCGGATGGTCACAATGACGTACCCCTGGCTGTGTCGTCGTAACCTGACAGCAATCAGGGCAATTAAATGGAATGAGTGGGGATTCCGGGAAGAATTTGTTGCCACTACGTCACGTTTGTTGAAAGTGCCTACGAATGAGGATATAGCATGTTCATAATGTACCACCTGGCTCCCAGATCAAACATTAGAGAGAGTGGGCATTCCAGGTTTGTTTTAACACTACTTTAAACAGTATTCTAGTTGTAACACGACTGCTTACTGTGGGAGGAAAGCCCAAAGTGATGCAGGTCTCTGACATTTACCACTTTTATGAAACCTGCAAGCAAACCTGGAAACAATTGAAGTGAACCAGGATTCCAATCAATATCAGAGGTTTTTGGGCACAAGGGACACTACTCTGCACACTCATGCCCCCCGACAAACCAGTGATATGATATATATATATATATCATATGTAGATATCAAAGTACAACATCCTTAGGTCCAAATATCTGATGTTTGTTGTTTAACACCGCACTCGGCAATATTCCAGCTACATGATGGCGGTCTGCAGCTAATCGAGTCTGGACCAGACAATCCAGTGATTGATATCATGAGCGTCGATCCACGCAATTGAGCTATATCATTTATCAACCAAGTCAGCAAGCCTGACCACCCGAGCCCGTTAGTCGCCTCTTACGACAAGCATCCAAATATCTAAACAAATCCAGACTGATGACAAAACCAGTCCGATCATTGCTGACAAAATTTGATGAAACCCAGTTGATCTTATGAACACACAATGCCATTTAGAAAGTTTGTTTGTATGTTGTTTAACGACACACTCGGCAATATTCCAGCTATATGACGGTCTGTAAAATAATCATGTCTGGACCAGACAATCCATGCAATTGAGATCGGTGACATGCATCAACCAAGTCAGCGCGCCTGACCGTGGTCCAATGTAACAAATGTCATATTTGGGATAACACTTTCTTAGTAAATGACATGGGGCTTAACCCCAAGAAGGTACTAGAATCTGTGCTTTACTCAGAAAGTGTGATCTTATGTGAGCATTTGTGGGATCATCCTTTGAAAGTATCAACTTCATTGCTGTTGTGGTTGACTGAACAACACTTGTATGGTCAACGTTTGTTATTCTACAAGTCCACAAGTAAACCATTGTGTATCTTTAGTCGCACACCAGACGAGCACATTCTCTATTTTATCATGGAATCCAAACTAAGTTTCGATTCAAACAGATTTGAATAAACTTGAGCAACCATTCTTTAGCGACCTTATTTGAAAAAATTTGTTTGTACTTGGTAAACATGAACGTTTTCAACAAACAAGCTCCCATACCATTACGAACCCCTAAAACAAATAGCAGCATCAGATAGCTTCTATGATTAAATTTTAGAACATCAAGTTCAAATTAATCGAAAATGACTTAACAATTATTTCCATCTTATTGAGCACACTCAAGCCTTTGGTTCTGATGAGCTTCTTAAGATCATGTGTGCGTGAATGACGCACACCGCGATATTCCACCCATGAGACTATATAATCAAGTCTGGACCAGTGATCAGAATCTACTACACACTTTTCAGAAGCATTTTGCAACAACGCTTTAAACCATGGTTATCTTTGTGAGGTGAGGTGAAATGGGGTTTAACGTCGCGTCCAAGATTATTGCACTTATATAGCGACGTGCATGTACGTGTGTGTGTTTGTGTGGCTGCTTGTACTAGTCCGGACTGATGCCGATTTATAGCCACTGCTCTCTGGGCGGACGCTCTACCACTAGACCACGGAAGCAGTCGGTTATCTTTGTACTCACGGATAATAGGTCTATGAAAAAATAACTACAATGCAACAACTTCTAATGATTTATTTGAGGACAAAACACACTGACACAATACAACAGACTTGATTCAGTCACCAGCACCGGAACAGATGGATGTCAACATGAGACTCGAGGAACTGGGTCGTCACCATCCAGCGAGTCCCATGATGCACAATGATTGCTTTGATCATCCATCACACAGAATGGACATATTTGCAATAATGGTGTTTTTTATATATGATATCCAGGTTCAAGCAGTCATGTGACAGCAATGGTCAAACAGAGAAGCATATTCCCATCACCATGACTACCATCACATGATCTGGAAGACATCTTGGAAGTGATAATGAAGACACATTCTTGCATAACTGAACATGAAAATGTACACTTAATTGAAATACAACCTTGGGTCACTAACAAACTGATTTCATCATGATAGTTCTGTACCTATTGAGTGTGCGATGTAAGCCATTCCATAACATCTGCCGATTTTCAATACTAGATTCCAATACAAAGTATCACATGATATTTAACACGTTTATATACTACTCAACATTTGCTAAGGACAAAAGTCATCTTTAGTCAAAAGTGTGGTCCTAAGTAAATGTTGAGTAGCATACATCAATAAAGATGTTTGTTTGTTTGTTTTCAGTTTGTTGTGGTAACACCGCACTCCAGACAATTCAGTGATTGACATGAGCATCGATCTTCGCAACTGGGATACAATCACATGCGTCAACCAAGTCAGCAAGGCGGACCACCCGATCCCGTTAGTCACATCTTACGACAAGCATACAATTAACATCAGATTCTGATCAGAATTATCACTGTTCTGTTAACCCTTAGCCTGCTGAATTTCTAGCACTTTTTAGTCAGCTAGATTGGTTGTCTTTAGCACTGAGCACACAGTTTTACTCTCCTTGGTTCAAAACCTGGGGGGGTCATTTGATGGAATATGGTAATGTCTTGGGTTTTTTTTCTTTTGGCTAAATTTAACTTTCTATATACATTGAACTTAGTAATATCAGGCACAACTAAACCTCCTACATAAACAATTATTTAAGTTAATATTGTTATTGCTCTATGAATTCAAACAGGATAAATATTTACAACTGTTTGCGGGGTTACAAAATCATAAAATTCCAAATATAAATCTGAAAATAGGCGGCTTCCATCTTCTTTAGCTAAGAAAATACAAGATTTGTTTTACGAGCAGATAGCTCCTTTCAAGATATAAATTAGTAGGAATTCCAGATGAGTAATATTCTCTCACTATCAGGACTAAAGGGCTTTGGACCCATGTGGGGAACAAAACCTGTGGATCACATTACCCACTGGGCCACCCCATCACCCCATTATGCCACACACGAAAACATCACTGCATAGAGTAAAATTACCAGCGAATCTTGCTGCATGTCTTATATTTTCACATAGCGAACACTGTTATGAATATTAAATGATAAATACTGCTCAAAAGAAGTAAAGGGCCACCCAAATGTTTCATATAAATCAGGAAAAAAAGATATAAAAAAATGGCGACCCTTGACTTCTTTTGAGTAGTATATGTATACAAAGAGGGTTAGACGTCAGGTAATTATCGTTTTGAGGACATCATACCGACAGGTTTTCCTACAGTACGGTGACATTGCACACAGGTTGGAAGTGACAAGTCAGACTGGACGAAAACAGACACAACACAGGGAGAAATAGTCCCGTCATCCTCAAGCTCAGCAACAAATAATTGAACAGTAACAACTCGACAAATTGAAACGCAAGTTGAGTTCATTGTAACCAATCAACATACAAGAAGGTCTACAAAGAAAATAATATTTTGACACTTTGTCACACTAAAATGATCAAAATGTACTAAAAGAATGTTAATGAATAGAATTTACTTGAGAAATTAACACGTTAATTGCGCAATGTAATCTTTTTTGAACAACTATTTCTAATATCGAGCTATCTTTCTGGTATTGTCCCTTTAATATCAACAAACATTTAGATTTATTTATCTTTCCAATTTCACATTTTAAATATTGCTTTTTCAAAACTAAAACCAATTAGGTACAATTTTGTTTCCACAATTATGAAGTCTGTTCACAGCATAAACTTATAACTGACAGTAAAAGTTACCGGACAACATGAATGACGAGAGCAGCTTCATGTAAAGCTCCTAATCATTGGTCAACACCAGCATCAAAGTCCATATTTCTGTAGACAAAGGAATTTGTGAAAAAAGGAAAAGAAAATAAGGTCATGGACTATTTTCCCCTCTCAGCTTTAGAACCACTTCTACTTTTAATATCTGTATTTCTGTGCACTCTTAAAGGAAGAGAAAGTTTGATTTCATTTCTATATTTTGACTGCTTGGCAACTAAATAAAACTTTCAAAAATAAAATACTTAGTTAAATGTCTATCATGACCTCACCTCTTAGATATTTAATATTCATTCATTTAACTTACCTAAATTACTCAAAAATAAAATACTTAGTTAAATGTCTATCATGACCTCACCTCTTAGATATTTAATATTCATTCATTTAACTTACCTAAATTACTCAAAAATAAAATACTTAGTTAAATGTCTATCATGACCTCACCTCTTAGATATTTAATATTCATTCATTTAACTTACCTAAATTACTCAATAATATCTAAATTATATTAATGTTTCAGTTTCCATTATTTCAAAACATGACTTTTTTTAAATGGCTTCAAATAAATGAAACTAAGCAGAAGTGGGAAAGTTACTCAAGACTGATCTTAGATTTGTTATATATATTTTTACTCATCTGTGGTTTTTATTTGTATTGGTACAATGCTTAGTAAATGCCTAATAATAGATTTGGGGTAAGAAGTTGCAATTTCAACAAACAAACTACATAACAGACAAACAATCTAAATGCAATAAATTATAAGAATAATCATGATTAACAACAACTAATTAATACAGAATGTTGAACATTGATCAACATAAAACTACAGGAATCACACGAGGTAATCACATGTTGTACGACAGTCGACATACAATGAACAATCTCCATTATTGCAGAGCTTATATACAGAACAACCAACAAGCTACAAGGAATTAGGGATTATCTGTACCGAGTGAATGAATAGTATTAATTAGGGCTGGGACGGGTGGGACGGGTGGGACGGGTAACTCGGGTACTCGGGTTGGGTGGGTACCGAGTAGGACCTGGGTACCCACAGGACAACCCGGCCCCGTGGTTAGTCACATGATATATTGTTTCATGACAAAAATTCACTATATAACTACATGGTTACACGACAATTTTAAGTCTCTAATGTTCGCATTTCTTTATGACTATGAACAAGTACCTTTTGATTTAAATAGGTTTGAACAAAGCTAAAACTGCAGTCAACTTCAGTGTATGCATGACCACATCATTTTATACAAGTACAAATACATTCTGCCAGGGCTACTGTCAAACTATTCCCAATCGGACATTTTGTACCTATCTCTTTAGACCAACAGCGGGTACCCGGGTAGGGTCGGGTAATAGGGGTGTGGGTACCCGGGTAGTAAATTTGGACTCGTCCCAGCCCTAGTATTAATCCCAGCATTTGGCAAGCGACATACAGCATTCATTCACTAGGGACAGACAGACATTCCGTAATGACGAGGAGGTTATTCAGTGTTGCTCAGTGTTATGTTTATGGAGAAAGTGAAGGAAAAAACGTATGTACTGTCATCTGTACAGAGAAGCTTCACAAAAGGCAGATGTTCAAAATGTACACAATTTGTGATGTCATGAACAATGGATGATGCCATGTCATATTTTCCTCAACAATTAAGGAAGCACTGTGACATCATATGGCTTTAATTGACCAATCATGACCAGTGTTCATGTGCAGATATCAGATACCAGTAGTTATAACACACGTTCATTCTATACTAATAATACAATAGGTAATGTTAATAATTACAGTAACTGCAATGCTGCAGTCATCAATATTCCAACTATGCCACTCAACAACTGATAGGGATATTTCTGTATATTAAGAAATAACAAGAATGTCCCTATCAAGGTGAATGGTATATATCACTGCTGCGTGCACAACAATCGAGAATAGACCAAACAAACCAGTGGCTGATAACATGAGCAACAATCCACACCAGGTCACAATGACCCATGATCAGCTGAGTCGGTGAACAGCTATATCTTGTATTGATATAGTTGGTGTTCCCACGGAATTCCACGGAAAAGTCTCATCCTTGATTTGCAATACTGCATCACAAGTTTATATTTAATCAAATCCAAATAATCTAGCAAAATTAATCTAATTTGAAAAAAAGTCACACATTCTAATACATTCATAAATGTATCTCGCAGACTACTCTCAAGAGTTTAAAGCGTGATTAGATGTAGACTGCAATCATTCCATACCAGGAGCCTAGATTCAGAATAAGATGTTAGCGTCTGACAACTTATTACTTTCACGACAGTCACAGTGTGAAGAGGGCTTCATGGAACGTCGTCAGTTGTCGAATTACAGTACCATAAACTTCACCTTTACACATGCTTATGCTTAAACCTAATAAACATGGTTTGGGTCAAATAATTAAGGCATTTCTTTCTTCATTGTGGACCTGGGTGCCGTTATACAAAGCGATCTTAAGGTATGGTAGTTACGATCACCTTAGCTCTAACAGAATTACGACCGTCGTAGTGCTAAGGTTTTGTACAACCGCTCCCTGTACAGGAATAATTTCTTTTCACAAAAAACATTCAAAACAAAACAAATTCTAATCAGGAATATTTTTAATGGATATTAACAACCCCTGAATAAAGGAGTACATTATTTGACCAGATTTTTCTGAAAAAACACTTGCACTGACTTCGTTATTGTTCCTGTTTGCAGGGTGACCACTCAGCGAACACACCAATCACACGTTCGTTGTACAAATTGTGATTCAAAGGAACTACGCTTGACACAGGACAAGAATGATTGACAAACTAATGCATAAATAACACAATAATTACACAAAATCAAACAATTGACACAACAAATGTTAGGTAGCCAGATTCAAACAGGTGACTACTATTAAACTGGTCTGGTTATTAAGTTCAAGATGGAAACCTTTGGACATGTCTGTGCTGATGTTTCCAAGCAATGACTATACATAGTACACAATGTTAATGAATCGTGGTCTTATAAACAGCAGTATTTCTTAAAATGCATAGTCAAGCAAGTGCAACAATTCAATATGAATCTGGCAAAGTATTCTCTTATAGGATATATCAAGTTATACATCAAAATAATTCAAAGCAACCATGAACCAATAAACAATAAATATTTCAAATATGAAAACATCTACAAAATAAGTCTGATCTATTGAATGTCAGTTTTAATACAAAATAAAAAGGAAAAAAACATTCATAAAAAGTCATTTGCCTAATTCCAGATTTTACATGTTTGTCTACGATTTTGTATCCAGAAAGATAGGGGAATTTACAAACATTAAGTACAATACATGATTTTGGAGATCTGGCCCATATTATGCTGAGCTCATGAAATAATGAATTGATTCAATTGTCCCATCTGACATGACTAGACATTCACATCTCTCGTGGTGCTGCTGCTGCTGCTGCTGCTGTTGTTGTGCAAGTGTTTTAGTAGTATAGTGAGTGAGTATTGCTTTACGCCGCTTTTAGCAATATTCCAGCAATATCACGGCAGGGGACACCCGAAATGGGCGTGACGAGCGAACGCTTTAACCACTAGGCTACCCGACCGCCCCTTTAGTAGTATAGAGTACAACAGAAATGCACCAAGGTACTTTGGGGTACACAGTGAGTGAGTATGGTTTCACACAGCTTTTAGCAAAATTCCAGCAAAATCCCGACAGGAAACAGGAGACAGGAGACAGCTGAAATGGTATTAATCCTAACTAAGCCTTTGGCGAGGGACGAGCAAGCTTTTACCACCTGGGTACCCCACTACCCTTTTGGTATACATACAGAATTCAACCAGGGCTGAAATCAGAATAGAGAAACGTACCCTAACTGTCCACAGCTTGGTACTGGAGCCACTAGCCAAGTCCACTCATTCAACGATGTGTTGAATAGCTTCCTCTGCAGGCTTCAGGTGTGCCAAATCATGGTAACAATCAATAGTGGCTGGTGTGAGAGTTGAAGAAATGTATCTTCTCATAACATTTATCTTAAACCTGTACCACTATCATTTATTTTCCAATAAATGCAATTCAGGCTTACGTTACAATTGAAACTGAATTTGGTTTCACACATTGTTTAATGAACTCATCCAATCACTATTAGCCATGTTGTGGTCAGCTGAGGTTTGTTTCTGAATAACGATTTCGGCCACGGTACATTTCTCTATAACTGTGGTAGACGTCTATACTCTACATGTTAACGCCCCCAGGGTTGCTGCTAGGCCAGGTGCTGTGCTGCCCTACTCAAACTCTAGACAGTTACTACAGTTTGATTAATACTCATTCACACAATTAGGTTCAATATAGAATTATTTTTGTAGCATAGCGAGATAAAGCTTCCTTGTGTCATCGTGAAGGCAGATAGGAAAGTCATATATTAACATAATCAGCACTGAATATACGTGAAAAGACTCCGCCTGTACCTCACATATCTGTGCCATGTGCTGGTACAAAGCCTCTGAAAACTTCTGTTGAGATGGCTGTCCTGGCCACAATGACCATGGAAGTCTTCAATACTGGCCAAACGTATATTTAAATGTCAATATTCTGAATAACAATTCTTTTATATATACTATAAAAAAAATATCAGTCACAAGAAGTCAATAAAACCTGTTTCCCCTGGCTCAATTTACTTCAACATGACCAATACCGAATCACCGCCACGTGATCAGGGGGAGACAACTGTTCTACACCCAGGACTTAAAAATTCCCTTCACTCAGAGATGGCCTAAATATTCTTACAATGTTTGCTGCTTTCAGAGTTCTTTGTCAATTATAGTACCGTAACAAAGTCGTCATGTCAAAAATACTGACTTCCTTATGAAGATTTACAATGTGAAGTAACCATTTAACGCAATCGTGTTTATTGGATACTTCAAAAAGAAAAGTGGAGGTATCACAGTTCTCATTAAAGTACTAAAAGAACTCGTGAATCTAGGGAAGTAAATATTCTGAAGCCTCCATAGATCCAGACACAACCAGTGAAGTAAAATACCTATCAAAGCTCTCCAGGAGTTACACATGAATTTCAAATTCTAAATTTTCATATCAAAATATATTGAGGAGTTCTATCAAAAAATTAAATCATATTAAGACATTCAAATATAACAATTTCAAAATGCTCCCCAGAGAACACCATCGTGTAACTGGATGAGTTCACAATTCAAACTCTGTATGATGAAACTCAGCCTACTGAGGGTATTTTCATTCGTCCTTCAATATTTACAACAGAAAATAGGGAAAAGATTTCTTTAGTTTTACACCTGGATCTCTTAATAAACTAACTAAAATAATTGACATCACTATTCACAGTTATGTTAATAACGAACATTAAAGTCTAACCTACAATCAACAAAATTAAATCTCAAATGTGATAATTGCATAAAAAATATATATATATCTTGACTTAATAACATTCAACTTTTAACACCTGTTAAACTGTATAGTATTCAAACTTTCCATCAAAGATATCAAACTTATTTTGTAGGAACAACTGAATGAACAAGTGGGACACAATCAATGCTCCCTAAGGTGACAGGAAAGTCTTTCAAAACATAAGCAGATTCCAGACTTTCTAAAATGATCAGCTCCACAATGGGAGAAAACTAATGTCCTATATAGTTGTCATAACAAAAACAAACATGGAAATAAATATCTTTAATAATCTGACATAACAAAACACTCAAACTAAATGCTTTTTAATTTTGAAAATGCTAAACAGAGGCAATCTCTCCTTTTGTTCAAGTAATGCCAATGCACGTGTATGACAACAAGCATTGGGGTATCGTCACAATTCGTCTCATACCATGGGTACATCACAAGTCTACCATCAGTAGAGGACTGTGGTAATCCATATCAATGTGTTCAGGAGACACGTATTCATGTTTGGTCGTCTCTTTAATTGTCTGATGACGGACATGTCATCAAAACTGCCAATCATCTCAAAAAGCATTTGGCAATGCCTTTCAAACATGGTTTGTATCGCATTCCAAAACTGTCTCAGAATTGAATGTGTACGTTTCACGGAAATGTCCTGCTTGAGATTCAGGTCCACGACTTCGATGACACAGATTGCTCACTTCAGTAAGGAAAACACGCCACTTCGTGAGGATTCACTATGATCATGAATCAGATGCAATCATGTCCCTTTCCACCAAAGTTCTTCCTTATATATATATATGCAAGTATCTTTCATTTGAAAATCTGCAACAACAGTTCTTGGCACGTTAACATCATATATGTCCTTTGACTCAAGACTATGTTTAAACAAGACCTGTCCTTTTGTCGCCATGGTTCCACACTCCACAATGGACTAGTCCATTCCTGCTCTCTTCCCAGTCGACTGAGGCAATATGAAGACTAGTAATGGCAAGCTCTAATGTTATGCTATGAAGATGGCTTAAAAATATTAGTGTTAAACACCAAGTACAATTAGCCTAAAACTGATGGCACTACGTAGCTGTTAATATCCTAAAACCTTGACTTCCTTGCATGTTTATATCCATACAAACTAAATACATTAAAATCTGGCCCTAGTTTCATTTCCAGAAACATGCCCTAAAAATATCAAACTTTTGACTCAAAATGCTAAATTTATTTTGCAAAAATGTAAAAATTGTAGTCCAAATTTCAGACTTTGCCAAATAAGAATTATGGAATTAGACAGCCAGACAACCTAAAATTGTCGAGTTTAGGATGATAACAGTGCGCACTAACAAAGCTAGGAGTAGCACTAGCGAAGACTCCATCTTCTTTTGCCGTTACTGGGAAGCCGCCGGGCAGGGTACACTGACGCTGTAGTTGACAGGGGGCAGCCCTGGCTGGAAGGTCTGGACAGGCGGAGTGGGGTACGAGGGGCCTACCATGTACACCACTTGACCTTGACCTTGGGAAGGTGTGCCGGGGATGGGAGCAAAGCCTGTGGAAGGAGAAGACGGATAGACATAATAGCAAGAACCACCACCATTTGTGTAATTGTTAGCAAGGGAAGCAGGAGGAGGAGGACATGCAGAAGTGCTAGGCAGGGGTTGAGAGCTCACCAGAACGTTCGGGACGCTGGAGGGGGGTACCGTGTTGGGAGGGGGGGCTGAGAACAGCGGCTGGTGATGAGGCCCTACCATGGTCGACGGCAGCGTAGGAGGTACGCTTTGCATTGTGGGATGCTGGGAAGGGGGGACTTGTAAGGATGTGCAAGGCAAGAAGGTGAGGCCAGCAGGAAGGCCGCAGTTCATATCCATGGGGATATTCTGACCAGGAACAAAGCAGTTAGCATTAACATTCAGGTTACTGCAGTTGTCCTTATCGTAACTAATTAAGCCCTCAGACTGCTGAATGTAGATTGGCTGGCCTTCGCAGCGAGCTTTAGCCGCGCTCGTCTCGGCCAGCAACACCTGGAACCTTGGAGGGATCTCTTTGATTGGTTTGACCAGTTTGTGATTGCCATACATGTAATACTTTCGTTTACCTTTTCCTTTCCCCTCACTATTAATCTCAATACATTCTGTGCTTCCTAGAGGATTCTCCTCAATTCCACAGACACTATGACTGCCCTCCATGTCTCCCTCCTCGGTAGAACTCTCCAGCTTGGAGGGGCTCAAACTGCCTGAACACTCACTAACACAACCACTGTCAGTGGACAGACAGCCCTCATCTTCAGCCTCTTTCTCGCGGTAAGGATCAGACACAGAGTTACCTCCCTTCTTCACATCAGGTTTCCCACAACTCGGTGCTAGATTGAAATCAGATGTTTTTTGACTGATTTGTGTTTTAACGGGTAACTTGTTTCTCATGCTTGACTGACCCTGATCATAATGTGACATCATTGGCTGAGCTGACATATCAACTGGACCAATCATGGGTGGCGGCGGTGGTGGTGGAAGTATCGGCTGCTGTGACTGCTGGAAACTCGCTATGACTCGGGAATACTGGAAAAAAAATAATCAACAATTTATCATTTGGGGAAATTCGCAAATAACAAGACTAGCATCCATAAGGTTAGCCAGTTCTAAAAGGTATCAATCACTGGTTGGTCTGGTCCAGACTTGATGAATTGAAGCTGAAATGTTGCATATTACTGCAATAAACAACAAATAAAAGAAACATATTTCCCACTCATGGGCCTGGGGCTGAAAAAACAAAGCTATCATTAACTATATACATTTGTTTGTTTGTTTGTTGTTTAATGCCTCACTCAGCAATATTCCAACTATATGATGGCGGTCTGTAAATACTCAAGTCTGGACCAGAAAATCCAGTGATTTACACCATGAGCATCGATCCACACAATTGGGATATCATGACATGCATCAACCAAGCCAACCTGGTCCCGTTAGTAGCAGGTCCCAAGCCTACTACACAGGGTGTATCCACAATGCCTTTTGTCTTTGCATTTTGCTCATTGCATGTCAATGTAACCCAATGGCATGAATTGATGCTCATGATGTCAATCACTGGATTGTCGGGCTCGCCATAGACCGCCATCATAATGGAATACTGCTGAGTGAGGCGTGAGCAAAATATTTTTAAAAGAGTGAGTGAGTGAGTGAGTGAGTACGGTTTTACGCAGCTTTTAGCAATATTCCCCATGGCAGGGAACACCAGAAATAGGCTTCACACATTGTACCCATGTCGGGAATCGAACCCGGGTCTTCGGCGTGACGAGCGAACGCCTTAACCACTAGGCTACCCTACCGCCCCTATTTTTAAAAGACTCCGGTCCATTGGTTTTAGACTGTAGGCAACCTGAGCTCTAGTTAATATATGAACAAACTTGTATCCCATAGTTCAATGACCTGAGGCAGTTTTACACTTGATGAAACCATGTGATACCCTGAATCAGCATCTCACATCCCAATCCCTCTGACCCATCAAAACACACAAACTCAATGAAGCTACAAACCAAGACAGCAGGATCAACGTGCTGCACTCCAGAACCATCGACGTCCAAGCAATGCAATGAGGACGCAAGTGGATGCCAGTGGACAGGCAACCTTATACAGAGTTATCTACAGCTACATCAGTGGCGGGACTGGACAGATGAAGGTATCATAATGTACATGCTCACATACCTTCCAGTCATCACCACCATAAAGATACCACCCCTAGGGTGCCACACAGTATCTTTTATCTACACCCCCCTCCCCCTCCCCCTTCTCACACCACCTCATTATCATCTTGCACCCCAGGGCAGTTCAGGGGCCTCGAGAGAAAGTGGGTGAACATTTTTAAATTCTCCCAATCTTGATGGGCATGATGCAACACTGTGACAATTTTGTCATTGTTTCAAGAGAGTCGAGAACACTATTGGTGCACTAGCTTGTACACTACTCAACTTTTGATAGGGATCAGGATTATCCACATGGGGTCTGAATGTGACCAATTGCTTGGATATGTTGTCATGACGATAGTACTGTATTTTCTTGAGTATATTGCTCACATTTAAAAAAAAAACGAACCCACACACACAATAAAACACAGCTGGGCAGAACGGGGTGCATATTTTATACGCTATAATGAGTTTTGATGATTCTTTCCCGCAACGCAAAGACAACACCGGAAATAACATGTCAACAAATCCATACTGAAGTATGCAAATTAATCACGTCATTGCGCTGTCTGGTTATAAAAAGTGTTCATTGCATATCTGTTTGTAACTTATTTCATTAATTTTATTAATATTCCTTTTAATATATTGTTTTAATTAATTCCGTCAAAATCGTGTGTGAAGCTATCGAAAGATCGCACAACTCACCGTTATTAACAGCAACCATAATTACCGCTATTGATGCCTTGAAACGAACTTTGACAGAGAATGGATACATGCGCGCGGAAGCCTCAACAGTGACTGGTCAAATTGTTCCATGTGAAAAAAAATAACCTGCAATAGCGATCAGCTGCACTGAAGTGCTACAGTTAGGGTTATTAATATATTAAATATATTTAGTAAAAGTTGCAACTAAAATAACAAGATATTGGAATATATTATTCCTGATAAAAAAATAGTTTCAGATACAATTTTCCCCGATCCTTGCATCAAAATCCTTTAAAGTTATATCAATGGGTAAGTTTTAACTGAATCGCAGGTAGATTCCAAGAAAATGTGTGTACAGCTGATTGCTGTTTCCGGCTTAGTTTACGAGAAAATACACAAGGTAATCTTATTGCCTGGATGTAAAACAAATTTAATGCCTAGCAGAACAAACATCAGAAAGATGACATCTCCCCCCCCGGCTGCTGTCTGTAAAGTAACCACAAGTAAATGTGCTATTCTCTATGTAATGAGTCAAGAGTTGAATGTTCTTGAAGAAGCATACATTGTTTACCCACAAAAGATCCACCATGGTCGCATACATATGAAATGGAAAGTAAAACAAGTGTTTCTGTGGGTTTTTTTTATGCAAACAAATGACAAATTACAAGAAACAATAACTAAACAAGCGTATAGTCAACAAAGTCATCTATATCCCCCGCCCATTTTAACACGTTATGGTCCCAAACCAAGTAACTGACCCAACATTTCTCTTAGCCCATGTCAAAATAGCTGCAATGGAAATTCTAAAATAAACATTTCTAAAACTCCTGAATATCAAATGGCACCAGTTCAGTATGTGCTTTATATATACACATGCAATGTTCGGCAAATATTTAACAGTTTATTTGTTATACTCCATAAGTGAACCCACCCTATATTAAAACTTAAATCCAACTTGTTGCCATGGAAGTGTAAAAAATATAAATTTATAAAATTCCTAAATAGCAAAAGGCACCAGTTCAGTATGTGCCTGGTAGATATGCAAAGATTTGTAAGAAAGTATTTAACAGTTTTTTGAGTTACGCTCCGGAAACGAACTCTACCCTATAGAACTTAAGTCCAACTTGTTGCCATGGAAACGTAAAAAATAAAAATTAACAAGCATGAAATACTCACATCCCCGCCAATATGACATGTCGGGTGTGTGCAATGCATTAGCTCCTGTGAACTATGTTCACTGGGCCTTTTCGTAAAGAAATATAGTACGTTTTTCAAGATCTGCACCGGAAACGAGGACTACCTCCATTAAGTCTAAATCAAAGTCGTTGCCATGGAAACTCGAAAAAATACCTTTTTAAAATAATCCAAAACTATCCAAAGGCACCAGTTCACCACTAGACCTATCAATGTGCAAAATATGGTGAAGAAAAATGGTACGGTTTTCAAGATCTGCTCCAGAAACGAGGACTACCGCCATTTTCAGTCTAAATCAAAGTCGTTGCCATGGAAACTCGAAAAATACCTTTTTTAAAAATCCCACACTATCAAAAGGCACCAGTTTACCACTAGATCTATCTATGTGCCAAGTTTAGTGAAGAAATATGGTATGGTTTTCAAGATCTGCTCCGGAAATGAAATGTGACGGACGGACGGCACCCATTCCTATATCCCCCTTCCACTTCGTGGCGGGGGATAATATAATTCTTAAATAGCAAAAGACACCAGTTCAGTATGTGCCTGGTAGACATGCACAGTTTTGTAAGAGAGTATTTAACGGTTTTTGAGTTACTTCGTTTGGGCGGGGGATGATATGAAAGAATTAGGTGTTCCTTTACGGTTTTGAGCATTCATATAACCTCTGACAAAAACATATTTATGAAACACTTGAGGGAACAAACTGTTCAATCCTGGCTGTTTCCTATGAATAAACAAACTGTTAACACACCCATTCCACCAATCAAAACAAGACGCACAAAGGTAGACAACTCAACACAAACTGCACTGATGGAACTAGTGACAGAAAGAGGACCTAAATTAAAGACAACATGTATTCAGTATGATATAACCCAAATGAAACACCCAGCATCTGATGACATTTTAACTCAAGACTGGGATTGTCATATGTATGGTAATAGTCCGACGGAGATGGAGAATGTATATGTACACCACAAACATCTGCCAACTGATCAATAGCTCGCCCAACACAAGCCTCTACAGATCAATATGCAAGCTCACATGCACAAATTGCAAACACTATCACTTTTAAATTAATTAAATACATTACGCTACCTCAACTTGAACACACCTGTCGATCAAGTTAGATACTTTACATCTATTTATCCTGATTGTCTTACCGTAATAAAGATATCTCTTTCTTTTTTTCAATTTATTATTGAACACACTCGTCTGAGTATGTTGGCAATGAAACTGAATACAGTAAACTACGGTTATAATGATTGGTTGGTTGGTTTGTTGTTTAACGCCACACTCAGCAATATTCCAGCTATATGACAGTGGTCTGTAAATAATCGAGTCTGGACCAGACAATCCAGTGAATAATATCATGAGCATCGATCCACGCAATTGGGATCGATGACATGCATCAACCAAGTCAGCGAGCCTGACCACCCGACCCCGTTAGTCGCCTTATACAACAAGCACAGTCGCCTTTTACGGCAAGCATGGGTTGAAGCTGAAGACCTATTCTACCCCGGAATCTTCACGGGTCCGGTTATAATGAACTCAAAGGGAGCACTAATTCTACTTCGCTATAACCCTAGTTCGTTAAAAGCATATATAGAGCATATATACAGCAAATTGCCAGAAACAAAACAGTTCGTAATATCTGTCAGTTCATTATAAGCGTGTTTGTTATAAACATAGTTTACTGTAATAGTAAATTTGGGTTTTGAAAGTTACTGCCAATGTTTTAGCACCCTTCTTTTGCCTCTTGGCTCACAGATGCTTGTGTGATGGACAGGTGTCGTGCTTAGAGGGCAAACAGGATATTACCAGATGGAAAATAACCAAACTGAGTATAATGCAAATGCCATCAAACCAAACATATCAAAAGATGAAACTTACTTCAAAGAGCATAGACATATTTCTTTTATCATCCACAAAAAGAAATTGTTACAATTCAAATATTTCGATGACTGAAACCTGTATTTTCTT